TTACCCTGACTGCTGGAGTGGGGCCTTGATTGATACCCTCTTTGGGAGGGCGCCACATACCCGGACAATCGGTTCCGTTGTGAGCATGCTTGCGCACATCTCCGTTACGCTTGAGTCTCCACACCTTGTCACACACTTGGCATGTGCCATACCTGTCGTCGCTTGATGGCTCCTCTTGGCTGAGAGAAGCCTAGCTGTCAGTCGTGACCTGCGACATCGGCGGGCGCTGGGCAGGCGCCGGGTGGGAGCTGGGTGGGCGCTGGGCGGAAGTAGCGTGAGGGGGTGGACACAGGGAGGTAGTGGTCGCGGTTGGGGTGGGGCAGGGGGGAGAGGGTGACTCTTGGGTTGGGTGACGGTACACATTAGCGGGTATGGGGTGGGGGGGGGGGGTCAGAGGGGTAACATTAACACATTTGTGTAATTTCGTGATATATCACTGCACAATATAATCTGGTTCACTGTGGACTCAATGCACTTAAAACACGATATCTGTTTCCCGGGAGCCGAGGTATTTATTTTTCAGGGATATTTTCATAAACACTGACACACTGGTCACCCCCTCGACTGACCGCACAACAACACCCCATCCCCCCACTCCCCACCACCAAAACCGAGGGAGCCCCTCAGGGCGCCCTTGTTGGCCCTCACTACAGTTCAAACGATTCCACACTGCCAATCTACTTGTTTGATTGTTTTTGGTTGCGATAGTTCACCCTGGACACTTCCCGCCACTCTCACACCTTCCCAGGATGTTCACACTGCACACTGTTGAGTTTTCACACTGTTTTCGACTATAAAATTAATTGTTTTATATATATATATATATATATATATATATATATATATATATATATATATATATATATATATATATATATGGAGGGGATCTAAACATTCCCTCTAATGCGTTATGCGTGGTTTCCTCCGAGGCTATGGGTCCCCCTTCTTCCAGCTAGAGGTGGTACTCCCTTCCATTTATATATATATATATATATATATATATATATATATATATATATATATATATATATATATATATATATATATATATATATATATATATATATATATATATATATATATATGTCGTACCTAGTAGCCAGAACTCACTTCTGAGCCTACTATGCAAGGCCCGATTTGCCTAATAAGCCAAGTTTTCATGAATTAATTGCTTTTCGACTATCTAACCTAACCTAACTTTTTCGGCTACCTATATATAGTGCACTGCGATGGCTGCTTATTATCCACTGAACAATGCTCCCAGAGTCTCCCACCTCGAGAGCTATTCGATGCACGACCGCTCACGTCCAGAGTCAGACCAGCTCTAGGCGATACCTCCGCCAGTCCCGCCAGGGGCTCTTGGTGACGTCACGGCAGACGCTGATTGATCGACAGCTTCACGTGACCCCGGCCAGCTAATCGCCAGCCGGCTGGCGTCGCTCACAAAATGCCGGATTTGTAGGCTAGGGGGGAGCCATTTTGTTTGTACCAAGGGCGCGACTTCCGCCCCCCCCCCCTTACCTACAAACCTATAAACGCAAATTTCTCCCCAGTTAGGTGACCAATCTGGTTTCCTCATATATCAAGAAACTCCCTGCACCTCAGGGAATCAGCAGGATCAGCAGATATGACTCTTAGAGTTGGATTTGGAGAGAAATAGAAGGGGCTCCATAACAGTATGTATGTATGTATGTATGTATGTATGTATGTATGTATGTATGTATGTATGTATGTATGTATGGATGGATGGATGTATGTATGTATGTATGTATGTATGTATGTATGTATGTATGTATGTATGTATGTATGTATGTATGTATGTATGTATGTATGTATGTATGTATATATGCATGTATGAATGTATGTATTTATGTATGTATGTAGGTATGTTTGTGTGTACTCACCTATTTGTTCTCACCTATTTGTGCTTGCAGGGGTTGAGCTTTGGCTCTTTGATCCTGCCTCTCAACTGCCAATCAACTGGTGTACAGATTCCTGAGCCTACTGGGCTCTGTCATATCTACATTTGAAACTGTGTATGGAGTCAGCCTCCACCACATCACTGCCTAATGCATTTTATCTGTTAACTACTCTGAAACTGAAAAATTTCTTTCTAGCGTCTCTGTGGCTCATGTGGGTACTCAGTATCCACCTGTGTCCCCTTGTTTGCGTACCACTAGTGTTGAATAGTTTATCCTTATCTACCGGGTCGATTCCCCAGAGGATTTTGTAGGTAGTGATCATGTCTCCCTTTACTCTTCTGTCTTCCAGTGTCGTAAGGTGCATTTCCCGCAGCCTTTCCTCGTAACTGATGCCTCTTAGTTCTGGGACTAGTCTAATGACATACCTTTGAACTTTTTCCAGCTTCGTCTTGTGCTTGACAAGGTACGGGCTCCATGCTGGGGCCTCCATGTGTGTGATTGTGTGTGTGTGTGCGTGTGTATACAGGATATGGAGAAACTGGTCAGAATTGCATTTCACATTTGTAAATTCGTTAATGACATTATTAAAAAAAAAACATATTGAACACTGTTTATGTAGAGAAGACGTAAATCTGTGTATTTATGTATATATGTATGTAGGTTAGATTAGCATTTTATAAGCACTACAATCACCTTCTGTGTTTGATTATTCAATAAATTGCTGAATTATATGTTTAACAAATCTCTAACCCTGTCCATGGAGGACAGAAGCAAATGTATATATATGCCGGTTAACTTTGTAAATGTGTGGCCACGTCTGTAATAGAAAATAGTAATGACAGAAATCATATCCAGTGATTTTTAATAACAATAAAACTTACAAGTTATTTTCCTGCCATGACTGAAGACTGTACTGAACGTCACTGTCCTAAAAGTGTACAACTGCCGCATTAATGGATTATTTTCATATAACATGATTTCAGCTCAATATATTATTATAAGCAATTAGGTAATGAATGAAGCACATAATATTTCTGTGGGTTCAGATCAAACACAATGGGACGACATAAGGTACTTGTATGCATAGCTCTTGTTAAAACACACACACATGATAATTTGTTTTCCTCTACTCCTGTCAGCACATACCACACCTTACCGCATCCACTACACATTCCAGCACAAGGTAGACCAGTACCTGAGACACTCACTGCACCTACCAGCACCTGCGACACCCACTGCACCTACAGCACTCACTGCACCTTCCAGCACCTGCGACACGCACTGCACCTTCCAGCACCTACAGCACTCACTGCACCTTCCAGCACCTGCGACACGCACTGCACCTTCCAGCACCTGCGACACGCACTGCACCTACCAGCACCTGCGACACGCACTGCACCTTCCAGCACCTGCGACACGCACTGCACCTTCCAGCACCTGCGACACGCACTGCACCTACCAGCACCTGCGACACGCACTGCACCTACCAGCACCTGCGACACGCACTGCACCTTCCAGCACCTGCGACACGCACTGCACCTTCCAGCACCTACAGCACTCACTGCACCTTCCAGCACCTGCGACACGCACTGCACCTTCCAGCACCTGCGACACGCACTGCACCTACCAGCACCTGCGACACGCACTGCACCTACCAGCACCTGCGACACGCACTGCACCTTCCAGCACCTGCGACACGCACTGCACCTACCAGCACCTGCGACACGCACTGCACCTACCAGCACCTGCGACACGCACTGCACCTACCAGCACCTGCGACACGCACTGCACCTTCCAGCACCTGCGACACGCACTGCACCTACCAGCACCTACAACACTCACTGCACCTACCAGCACCTACAACACTCACTGCACCTACCTACCCATTACATCAATAGAGGAAACCGTGCCATAGCGGATCCCTTTTGCTTTTCTCGACAGATCCGTTATTGTTTCCGTTAAAGTTGACGGAACTGTTAGGGACCCTTATTCCTTTCCGTGAAAGCCGACGACCGTAGTGAAGCAGAGTATTTTAATTTTTTTTTTCCAGAGAAATCAAAGACCTTGATTTTGGATTAGTAAGTTTTACCATGGGGATTAAACAGCTCCCTTCTGGCCCCTGATACTTTTCCATAGAGATTAAACGGCCGCCTCCTGTCAGCCCCAAATCCCCTGGGACAACGTGCATAGGTACAATCATTTTGAAGGTACACTGACGTCCTCCGCTAGTGTCATGGATTAAATATACATGGATTAAATATCCTCCGATGTCATGGAAAAAATTTACACTTGTGGTAAATGAATTGATTAAGGAAAGATGAATGATGGCTGGCCGATGGCCGGCGTCAGTGTACCTTCAGAATAATTGTACCTATGCACGGTGTCCCGGGCCAGCGAATTTGAGGATGACAGGAGTCGGCCGTTTAATCTCCATGGAAAATTACCAGGGGCCAGAAGGGGGCTGTTTAATCCCCATGGTAAGACTTACTAATCCAAAATCAAGGTCTTTGGAAGAAAAAATTAAATCACTGTGCCTCACTCCAGTCGTCGGCTTTCACAGAAAAAAATCAGGGGCCATAACGGTTCCGTCACCTTTTACAGAAAAAAAACCAGGAGCCATAACGGATCTGTCGAGAGAAGCAAAAGGAATTCTTTATGGCCCGGTTTCCACCACTTTTATGTATCAGCACCCATTACACCTATCTGCAGCCACTGCACCTACAAGCACCCATTCAACTACCAATAGTCAAGTCCCATATCTCCACCAACTACATAATTGTTCCTATTGCTTACATTATAAAATAGAAATTCGATAAAATTTGGATAATATTTCGTATATTCGAGCATTGCTGTTTTTAGGTTCAGGTTCAAAACATTTTTGTTCTGAAAACCATTTTATTACCCAGATATCTGTGTTGTTGATTTTCGTTGACAAAAGCTTACAACATAATTCCCTTAAATGTGTATTTAAGCAAAAGTAATTATTTTCTCGCTTCGATTCGTACAGCAATATATTTCAGTGCTTGAAAATGGGTTTACATTTCATCATAATAATAAAGTAGCAGTGTCTGGCCTTACTCTGATTCAGCAATATGCGGAGGTAGGCAGAAGTAGCCGGTAAGCTGTAGTTGTGTCCGTGGGTGTTGAATGTGAAGCATGAGGCCATCAGGAGGGTCGTCAGGGGCAGCACCAGCAGCGCTCCCAGGATGGCCGCCCACACCAGCGGATCCAGAGGGAACAGGAAGCCCCACGGGTCCACCTCCGGCCGGCCTCGAGCTCCCAAGAATCTTATGTAGTCAGTTAGTATTGGCACTGTGAAGTCCACCACTGCGGCTCGTATTTCACTTACACCAAAGGGGCCGACAGCTATATCTACTTCCTTTATGTTGAAAAGACAAATCACATAATAATCAGAACAATAATTGTAATATTACTATCTATGCAGAACATTAGGAACACAGACTCATAAATTAAAATATAAAAACCGTTCGCACTTTAGGTCCACATGTAAAGTTATTCGGAAATTAATAAATATTTAACCTTTCCTAAATGTAGTTGGACAATAAATAAATTTATCTTCAACTTCCTGTCGCTCAGAAAAAATCTTAATAGTTGGTTATTACTTTCCTTGTTTAAGATTATCTCCACGTAGACAATACTGACCTGCTTAATGACCATGCCCACCATGCCTGACCACCTCCCATCGTCAAGTTTGATGCCCCACGACCCATCAGGAGGCCTCAAGTACACGTATCTGACGTGGAGAAAACGGAAACAGCTTTATGGACTTGACAACACAATACCACTACTTTGCAGTTATGAGTATCATTATTAGCTGAAAAAAATCAAATAATTAAATACCTATACGATAATACAGCATTTGAAGAGAAAGACAATTTTATGAAATGTAATGAACTTTTAAGCAATAGTCTTTAGGAAGCAAAACATGAAGTACACGGTGTAGCATCCATTCAGCATTGACAATTGGTTAACAAGTCACTGTATATCAAATATTCTCTACACTTGTGTCAGTGTTAACTGTAACTTACGAGAAGTTGAGAGCCTTGGCCAGGTAGGATACCAGGTTCGCCGCAGGTCCTACAAAAAGCACTCCCTGGTGGGGCCGTGGACCCTCCTGACTCACCATAGTCATCAGTGAGTTTATCTCTGCCGCCAACTTCAGCGTTGGCTGCTGAAGGAATCTAACACAAGAGTAAATTATACAAGTCTTTCTTCACTACAACACACCAACCGATATATTTCTAAATATTTGTGTTCATTCTGTCTAGAAATCTCTTAATAATGATTATAATGAACATATTTTCAAATTAAATCAGTACAGTAGTAAAACTATATATGGCTTTAAACATATTAGTGAAGATTTTGTGGAGCAAATAATCTATATAAATAAAAATGGAAATGTTCGTTTGTGCATAACCGAAATCGCTAATCTCCGAAATTTCTTCATCGAACGCTTTGAAACTTTCACACAACGTTCCATTCGCATCCGAGCAGGTTCATAGATACATACTATATCGATGTCACGTCTGTGACGGTAAAAAAAAATTATGAAAAACTGTGTTTTTCATGTGAGGGGAATCTTCGAAACCTCTTTACCGCTTGCTTTGATATTTTGACACAACGTTATATTCAAATAGGCGCGTCTTTTTATATATCTACAATATACAAGCCTCACCTGTGACGTGAAAAAAACATGTTTTTTGTTGAAAAAAACGCGCCATCTGTTGGACATAAGAGCATCACACACTGTAATCTCCAAAAACTCTTCACCGATTACTTTGAAATTTTGACACAACGCTGCATTCGAATAGGTGCATCTTTTTGTATACTTACTATATAGATGTCACCCCTCTGACAGGTAAAAACATACGTTTTTGAAAAACAGCGCCATCTGTTGCACATCATTGCAAAATGCACGCTATACTAAATATGTCACGAATTCCATTTCAATGATTCCGATTGCATTGATAAATTTTATTTTCATAGATTTCGATTTATTATATTTTTTATTGAAATATTTTGTGTGACATTGTGTTGGATTGAGTTATGTTGTTTACCATACCGTTCATTTCGTAAGTATAAGTATAAGTATAGATGCAACACCTGTGACAGGTAAAACTATGCTTTTCTTGAAAAACAGCGCCATCTGTTGCATGTAAGACCAACACAAACATGCTATACAAAATTTGTTACAATTCTATTTCAATATTTCTAATTGCATTGATAAATTGAATTTTCATAGATTTTGATTTATTTTCGTTTTGATTTAATAATTTTGTGTGAATTGCGTTGGAATTGAGCTGTGTTGTTTACCATACCTTTCATTTCGTGAGTATAGTTTAATTTTTTATTTTTTCATATTTTCATTTCATTTTTTAACTGTTTTTTGTATATTTCATTGTTGGGAACATCAGATCACTTGATGTCCTCAATTTTCTGATGGGAACATCAGAAAAATGGGAAGGCATCGGACGAGGGTGTGGGGAATAGTGGGGATGACGAGGGGACAAGGGAGGGGGTAATGGTGAGGAAGGACGAGAGGACGGGGAAGTTTGGGATGGTGGGTACGAGGGGATGGGGGAATGGAGAATGGTGGGGAGGACAACGGGACAGAGGAGTGGGGCATGGTGGGAAGGAAGAGGGGACGGTGGAGTGGGGAATGGTGGGGAGGCCGAGGAGACAGGTGAGTAGGGAATGGTGGGGAGTCCTGGGGGACTGGGAAGGTTGCTGTGGCTCAGCAATGCACATGCGTTGCTGAGCCACAGCAACGCATGGCCGGGTACTGCTAATTAATATTATAAACATATATTTTTTCCTGATATAAATAATAGGTTCATCTATAGATAACAAATGAAATGAAGGTGATCATACCAGTGCATTCAAGTGCATTTACCTAGTTGTGCTTGCAGGGGTTGAGCCCTGCTCTTTCGGCTCGCCTCTCAACTGTCAATCAATCGACTGTTACTAACTACTACTAACTATTTTTTTAACACAAAAACACACACACACAGCAAGCAGCCTGTAATAGCTGTCTAACTCTCAGGTACCTATTTACTGCTACATAACAGGGGCATCAGGGTGAAAGAAACTCTGCCCATTTTTGGTTCCACTGGCACCGGGAATCGAACCTCGGACCACAAGAATACGTATCCAGCATGCTGTCCATTCAGCCACCAGCGCCCAAGGCGTTCTAGCCCTAGCCACCAGATCCCTACAACACTGCGTAATTATCTCTTCTTTGGTCGGTTACAGGTATGATGTTATTAATTATCTCTTATTCTGTTATCCTGTATTTACCTTGAGAACTTGTCTGGGAAGAGCGGGAGGCTGGAGGTGAGAGCGAGGCCTCGCTGGGGCGTCCAGGAGGCCACCTTCAGCGCCTGGGCGCCCAGGGGACTGTACGGCACCTGCAGGTACACCCCGCACCTGTATGATGATAATAACTGGTCAGTAAGCATCCCTCAACACAAATGTTATTGACTCCTGTTATTGTATTATAAATAATCTGCAATAAAACTTCACTGTCCATATACTAAATCCGGAGATTCAACATAAAGTAACTTATATGATGGATGACAAGTAAGAGTACCTGATGCTGTCTAGTGATTCTTCATATATGATCAACATGGAGTTGGTGTTGGAGAGGAGCGTGTGGAGGTGGTGCAGGTGGTGAAGGGGAAGGCGGGTGACGACCAGGAGCCTCGTCGACCACACCAGGAGGCGGCCCTTGAGGGACCACTGGGCGAAGGTGGCGAGGAAGGTGAGGTCGTCGCTCACCACCACCACCGTCACGCACCACGACACCTGCCGCAGCTGTGGACGACAACATGGTACACGTTATGTGACAGTGACCCACCACCACCGTCACGCACCACGACACCTGCCGCAGCTGTGGACGACAACACGGTACACGTTATGTGACAGTGAGTAGTGAGGTTGAGGACTAGAACCGGGCACTACACCTGCGTTAGGGGTGTCTGTGGATACACTTGACACAGATGAGGATGTGGGAATCATCTGTAAGGGTGAGATGAGTGCTCCCGCCCGCGTGGCTCTAGTCCTCAGGTAGAAGACTAGATCCATGTGTGGGATGTGTGTAGAGAGGATAAGGGGGGTATGTGTAGCAGTAGGTGTGTGTAGCATATGTGCAGGTGTGTAACATGAAAATATATGTGTAGATAGCGTAGAGTTAAGCAGGATATATAGTAATATATAAATTGTTATTTAGTGCTGTTAACACCCTTTTGACTGGTGCCGACATACCAACTCACTCCTTTTATGATAATTGGCTGAGCAACAATGCTTACAATCTCATTAAACTTAACATTCCTTTTAAGTGCAATCTACCTGTCTCTGATATTCCTCTTTATCTGTACCCCACCATTCAAGTATCATACACACCTGTCACCAAGAAAGATAATGAGAATCTTGCTCTTCTCAAAGCTGTCACTCTTGAAACAATTGCCTCCTCCATCGAGAGTTTAAGATCTCAGGAGCACTGTGTCTACACCGACGGCTCAGTCCAATCCTCTACTGGACGGACTGCAGCGGCATGTAGGTTTTATAGAAATAATATTTGCACAAAGACTGTCAGTGTCAGGTTAAACAACTGGCTGACCTCCACACAAGCAGAACTAGCAGCATTACACTTAGCAGCCAGTACATTAAAAAACATTGGAGGAGGAATAATATTCTGTGATTCAAAGTCTGCTCTTCAAGCAATCGAAAACTTCTCTTGGAAGATCGACAGCAAGAACCTCATACTCCCAATTATAAATGACCTAATTGATGCACAGAGTAAAGGGTCTCGAATCTCCTTTGTATGTCTTTGTCTCCACACATAAATATAACCCATCATAATGAGACAGACATTGCAGCCAAATTAGCGTGTAACAAGTCTGAAGTTGAATTAGATCTAGGTATCCCCATCTCTGCTGTCAAAACTGTATTGGTCCAAACATTCAGATCTGATAGGAAAGAACTTACTGACTCCCAACGACCTGAAAGTACTAGTATAAAAAGCTATGATTTGTTCAGATCTGAAACCTACATCTATGGACAGCACAAAACGTCCACTAGACTGTGCGACACAGTGGTTGCAAGGATCAGGTTGAGTTACCGTTACCTGTGGCAGGTGGCTGCAGGTGACGGGTCTCCCAATCCTGAGCACTCCAGTTGCAAACTCTGTGAGCAGGAACTACGGAACGATCTCCCGCACTACATCACTGAATGCCCAGTTATTAGACCTTTCAGACCAGTTGGCATGAGGTACCTGGAGCTTTGCAATTACTTTATTCACTCTCGTATTCTTGAAGATATCCTCACAGTATACCCAAAATTTGCCAGTGCAGGCTATTAAACACATGGCTCTGTATGACTAACCATCCTGCGAGATGGGGACTTGTATTACCACTGCTACCTTATTCAATCTTGTGTTGATGATATCCTCAAAATGCATCCGGAGTCTGCCAGTGCAGACTGCCCATCACATGCCTCTGTATGACTAACCATCCTGTGTGATGGAGATTTTTTAGCATCACCTAGTTAGCTTTTTTGACATACTGTACTTCACTTCATATAGTCTAGGGTAGCTGCACTAATGCAGATGTACCTCATTTCTTAATAAAAAAAAAATATATATATATATAAATTGTTAAATAATAATAGTATGTAGGATCAAGAAGGGTATGTTACGGCAGAGAGGGGGGGAGGGGGCCTCCCATGGGAAGGCATACCTAGGAGGCCGAGTTTTTATAAGTGTACAGTTAGGGAAGGGTGTGTGAAGCAGGTGAGGGGGGAAGGGAATGAAGAGGACCACCCAGGAGATCTGGCTGGCAGTGGTAGTGTACCTCACACTCTCATGCTTTTAAACAATATGTTTGTGGCATGTAGGGAAGGACAGATGACAGAGTGAAGTGTGTATATTTTACCAGAAACTTATAACTTTCTCACCATAGTCTCTGCTGTCGGTATCGTCTCAGCCTCTGCCTGCCTCCTAAGCCTTCAACACCAGGTGTAAGAGGAGCCATTAGTTTCGTGTCATACACGAGTGTACACAGCGAGGAGTCTCGACGGCAACTGAGCTGCGAGCGATGCAACCATAATACTTTGTAAACAAAGGAGTCCCCTCACCCCGTCCCTTCCCCTCCCCTCCCTACTCCTTCAGCCTTCACCTCTAAGGAGTAGCATATAACACATGGCCCATGTCACACCTGCATAGTGCATGAGATACATCACATACCACATGGGTGTGGGAGCGGGCGTTCGGGCGGCCTACCTTTATGATGGAGGTCGTGTGACTGACGTAGATGAGTGGGAGGGGGAGAATTATGTCAACATTACCCCGACCATAGCCCCTCATGCGCTCCCTCCAGCACCTTCCACTAAACGGTGGGTGTGTTTTGTAGCATTGAGTAGAATATTATTAATAATAATAATAGGTAGGGGCACACACAATCTGTTTATTTACGCTAGTTTAAAAATGTAAGGATGTCGGATAGGCAGTTCAACATTTATGTTGTTAGGTTTTTTCACAGTAAAGAAGGAGGTGTGTGTATCTGTCCCTCTCACCATCTTAGCTTTTTTTTTGTCAGCCCACCATATCAGTCACAAGAGGTGTTTGTTCTGAGCTGTGCGAGTTCAACACCTGGAGGGGAGAAGCAGTGACTCTAACATCTTTAGTTTATAGCCTGTAGCCAAGTCGGGAGGGGGTTCTCGCGTGTTTACATCAGAGAAGCGGGGGCTCTTGGCCGCTCCATCCCCATACACTTAGCTGCCACTTGACACCTCTCAAGTTAACAGCTTACGTGCATTTCTCAGTATTGAGAATAATAAATAAATAGATAGGAGAAGTAAAGCCGTTTATATATAATTTTATTCTTGTAACGTGATCAACATACAAACATCGTTCTTTCCCCAATAACAGGTTTAAGAGTAACAACAGTAACAGTCATAAGGCAGTCTTCATTCTTCTTATAACAAATCAAATATATGCTCGTGAATGTTTTACGCCTCATAACGTAACGTGGCGTAACGTAAATTAATGTGTCCAACACGCAAACATCATTCTTTCCCCAAATAACATTTACAAGTAACGAGCCTCGTCGTATATCAGTCTTCAATCTTATTATAACAAATCTAACAATGCTAGTGTGTGTTTTACACCTCGTAACGTAATGTGATCAACATGCAAACATCGTTCTATTACCGTGAGACTGTTTTAGACCTTGTAACACACACACAATGTAATGTAACGTAACGTGGAAAATCGGCGTTCTGCTGTCCAAAATATATCATTTTGAAAAGTAAAGCATGACTTCTCCATTACATCCAATATCAAATAATTATTACTGTGCAACTGTCTTAGACCTTGTAACACACACACACACACAATGTAATGTAACATAACATGGAAAATCAGCTTCTGCTGTCCAAAATAAATATCATTTTTTAAATACCTTACTAAGCTCACAGTTTTCCAAATAAAGTGGGTTGTGATTATATAAATACGTTCCAGACACACTGCCTCCATATCAAGGATAGCTATATATATATATTTGTTCTGGTATCCCAGTACCCCTTGGCTGGTCCAATGTTATCGAGCACTGACCCGTACCCAATATGCATGTTTTTATATAAAGCTTTATTTATACTTCACTTTCGCCCACGAACGACGAAGCATTGTGTCGTTTTTTTTAAAAAAAACACGGAATTCCAGGAACGTCGCAGTATTGCATAGTTTCTGGCTGCAAATTGGCGGCGGCTTCGGGAGGGGCACACCAGAGTTTTGGACATTATATGTATATATGTCTTGTAGGAAATTTCATTGCAAACACAATGATACCAAAATGAAAGACCTAGGGTCAGAATTGAGGTAACCAAGTTGAAAAGAGTATTTCATTTTATTGCTCTTTATTTAGCACTCAATGGGGTAATGATCCGTCCCTTTCTCTGTTTGCTGTGAGTGGTACGCCTGGCTTTTGGACTTTATATATGCATATAGTCCTGTAGGGAATTCTATTGCGAACAACGATACCAAAATGAAAGACCTACGTCGAGAATTGAGATGTCTAAAGTAAAGAGAGTGTACACATTTTATTGCTCCTGCGTGCTCCCGGGTAACACGCTCTCACTTTCTCGCCGGGCTTTTGAGCTTCATATGCATTTAGTTCTGTAGAGAATTCTATTGCGAACACATAGATATCAATTTGAAGAACCTAGGACGAGAATTGAGATGAGAAAGTAGAAAAGAGTATACACTTTTTAGTATTACCGCGCTCTCTAATGTAGAGAGAGGAGCCTTGGGGGTGGCGCCCTATGGTGCAGCACTCTCTTTCTGGTAACCTTGGCCTACTTTCATCTTGTCCGCAGAGTATTATATGCATATACTCCTGTGGAAGATTTCATTGCAAACACAATGATACCAAAATGAAAGATCTGGGACCAGAATTGAGGTAAGAAAGTTGAAAGGAGTATACCATTTTATTGCACTTGACTAGCCCTCACGGGGGTAAAGCGCTGTCACTTTCTCTGTTTGCTGGGGGCGGTACGCTGGGCTTTTGGAGTTTAGATGCATTTACGTCTCTAAAGAATTCTATTGCAAACACAATGATACCAAATTGAAAATCCTATGACGAGAATTGAAGTGACTAAGTTGAAAAGAGTATACACTTCTCAGTATTACCATGCTCTCTAATGGAAGGCCTGGAGCTCTCTTCTGGGTAACCGCGGTCTGCTTTCATCACGTCGACGGGTGGAGCGGCCTGCGGTTTTTTATATTATATGCATATACTCCTGTTGGGAATTCTATTGCGAACACATTGATACGAAAATGAAAGACCTAGGACCAGAATTGAGGTAACGAAAGTGAAAAGAGTGTACACATTTTATTGCTCTTGTGCACTCCCGGGTAACTCGTTCTCACTTTCTCTGCTTGCTGCGGGTGGTAAGCCGAGCTTTTGGAGTTTATATGCATTTACGTGTCTAGATAATTCTATTGCGAACATATTGCTACTAAATTTAATACCTTAAGACGAGAATGGAGGTGACAAAGTTGAAAAGAGTATACAATTTTGAGAATAACCGCACCCTCCCGTGAAATGCCAAACGCCACCTGGGGTAGTGTGGCACTCGCGGGCCCAAAGCGCCAGTGTTGTTCTGCAGCATAGCCTTATTAATGGCTATTAATCCTTCAAGATAAGGTAATAAATACCCTATCGACCTATAGATGTGTAGCCTTGATATTATATTTAAAATTAGCTTGTTCTTTATCACTGAGTACAAGCCATTTATCTGGTTGTAGTTCAACATGCTCTCTAATGTCTACATTATCCCAGACGTATTCACCAACCGATGTAATATCCAAACACTGGTTTGAAGCAGGTATTTACACTACTCGATTTCATATCTGTCATCCGCTGCTTCTCTCTCTCTCTCTCTCTCCAGCTGAGACAATAGTGAAATAATTGGCTTAAATTTTTGCTAGGATCAACACGACTTAAAAACTGGGTCAGTTTATCATGGTGCACAGCCTTGCACCCCGAAATGGTAGATATCAGTTTATGTTCAACTGGAATCAGAATAAGGAGCCGGGTTCTACTACTACTGTTTCGTCAGGTCAACCTTGAGGCATTTAGCGTTATGAGTGTCATTGTCAGCTCGTTAGTTGACACGCGTATAGACATCTACTCTCTCGTGGGGATCCGAGATGACAGCTCTCCTCACTACCCGTTATCCCTCATTAGGGTCAGTAAAAAATAGAGACTGTTGATATCATAGTGGGACAATGAAAACAGAATATTCACCACTCTTAATACTTTATTCATTGACTGGTGTTATCTGTGTGAACACACCTTACACCGCATGGTGAATTCTTCTTTCTCTCACTCGTCAATAATCATTCTTTGTATCATTTCTTGACTAAAATAGCACTCTGAGGCATCTTTACTTATCTTAATTTTCACTGACATGCGCTCAGTCATCAAATACGTTTCACCCCATCAAAGGGAATCTCAATACTGCGTCGGAGGTCTTGTGTTATATAAACTATGTTTTACCTAGCCTATCATTTCTCTCGAGTCTGCACAAACTCACACAAAACCCAACTTCGGTTTTCAATTCTTAGCTCACTCTAGATTGGCATTGTCGTCGTGTTAAAAGTACTGTACTGCTACTCTCTCTCTCTCTCTCTCCTCCCCCCCTCTCTGTCAACCCAGGCAGAGGTTAAACTCACTGCTGTGCTCGACGTGTGTCTGCTCTCACTGCGACAAGGTCTGCTAATGGGGTGTATGGACACTGCACGCGTACCCACACATCCGGTACCACCTGCCCTCTCGTTCATCACACGTCAATTCCCTAACCACTTGGACTGACGACATTTCTCCTCAAACACACCAGTAGTTGAGACGTGATCGCTACCTACAATTTCTAATATTTTTTTGTTATCTGAGTCACCACACGATACATCTCTTAGTTTCCTCTTCTTTCTCCCATTAGTCATTAATGAGTCTTTGAATCATTTCTTGCAGCTCATGAGCCCACTCAAAACTCACACAACATGCAAATTCTGTTTTCAAATCTTATCCATTTATTTTTACTTTTGTATAAAAAAGAAATATTGCGAGGTAAAACATTGCTGATGTGTTTTTATATTCAATGTAAACCTAAATACAGTAACTTTTCACTTTATGTAAGTTAAATTCCTCAATGAGAGGGGTGTTGGTGCGTGTTTCTTTATTCAATGTAAAACATAACACAAAAAAGACAAAATGTAGCAATAGCTGACAAGTCAAAACATATAACAGATTCATTTCTTTTGCAGTTTTACACGGTAGGAGGTCTTTTAGTTTAAAAAAATATACTTCCACCAATCTACATGTATATTGAGAGAGAAGCTTAACATGAATATTCTATCTAGTTTAAAAAAAAAGGTTTTGAATAAGAAGAGTCATATTCCATAAAATACTTACATCAACCAATATCTATGAGCAGTAAGACGGGGGCTGATCACCACATATAAATTCCCTGCATTACACTATTAGCAATGTAAAACATAACAAACGGTAAAAATTGTAGCAATACGCTATTAGTCAAATAGATTGTCGAAACATATAATATGAATTTTTAACTATTCTTATTTTTTTTTCTTCTGGCAAATAAGGGACCTTTAAGCTGTTCATCACTTCAAACACTTGTTTTGTTTCATAATGTTTCAAAACCAAAGCAGGGAACATTAGTGAAATACCATCCACGGTACACAAGAGTGCCTCCCATGCCCTTGCACTACCCATAGCTTTTTTTGTTCAATAAATCTGTAGAGTATTATACCTTCCCTGACATCCTTAAAAAACAAGAGTAACGCCAGTTCATAAAGGAGGTAACACGGCAGACATAAATAATTACAGACCCATATCAAATCTACCTATATTATCAAAAATATTTAAAAAAATTATTTACAAACAGCTCTACGATATACGATATACGATCTACGATCAAACAGCTCTACAAACAGATCTCGTAAAATTCAATATACTAAGTCCCTGTCAGTTTGGCTTCCGCTCCCAAAAGTGTACCAATGATGCAATTGTTAATCTGCTTGACTTATCTACTCAGCCTTTGACAAAACTGAGTTTACGATTGGACTCTCCATTGACCTGAGAAAGGCTTTTGACACTGTTAACCCTAACGACCTCTTACTTAAACTCCACCATTGCGGAATCCGTGGCCTTGCCCTGAACTATATCCGGTCCTATCTTAGTGACAGACACCAATATGTAGCTCTATATCCTCAACCTACTCTACCACTAACCGTAGCGTTGCCACAGGGCAGCATCCTCGGACCCCTCCTGTTTCTTATATACATCAATGATCTGCCTAATGTCTCAATCATGCTTAAATAAATATTGTTTGCTGATGATACTACTATCATCTACTCTGACCCCAACCCACTCATATTAAATAATGTTGTAAACAATGAATTAAAAAAGTCCACTTATGGATGTCAACCAACAAACTCATACTAAACATAGAAAAGACTAACTACATCTTATTTTTAAGCAAATCAACAAATGCAATTCAGCTTCGAATAGATAATGTAAACATTAGCAATAAAAATGATGGAAAGTTCCTTGGCCTATACCTAAACAAGAGGCTCAACTTCAGCACCCACATTTAACACATAACTAAAAAAGGTTTCTAAAACAGTTGGTATACTCTCTAAGATCAGATAGTATGTACCCTACTCTGCTCTCCTCTCACTCTATTATGCACTTATTTATCCCTATCTTACTTATGGTATCTGTGATTGGGGTTCAACCTCTGCAAACTACCTGAAGCCCATCATCACCCAGCAGAAATCTGTTATCTGGACAATAACAACTCTGCTCTCAGACATATTACAGCTCTCTTGTTTAAATCCCTAAACATGCTAAACATAAATTCACTCCATACATTCTCTTGTGTCAATTACATTGATAAAAAAACTTTTTTTTAAGTGCAAACCCTGTTCTGAGACTCTTCCTGGACAGATGTAATAGAACACATAATTAACACGCCAGACATAAATATCTCTTTGATATCCCCCAGAGTCAAACTGAATCTGTGTAAACACTCTATGCAAATAAAAGGACCTAGTCAATGGAACTCACTCCCTAATGAATGGAAATGCTGTCCAATTTTTGTCTTATTCAAAAATAAACCCAAAAAGTACCTAATTCCATCTTCAAAGTCTTCTACCAAGAGCTTTATCTTCGGACTGTTTCTAGTGCTACCTAATCCCCCTTTATTTGTACCTAAGCCATACTCTTTACCCTTAAAATCTTAGATCATCTTATATCATGGTTGTTGTATTGAGTGCATATTCGACTGCATTATTCCTTATAATGATCCTCATATTGTGCTTCAGTGATCCAATGTAAAACCCTGAGATGTTTTCCTAATTGTACCTAGTAATCCTTGTTCATTATTGTAAATTGTTATTATTGTGTATTATTCTGATTTGCTTTTGTGTTAATATTTCTTGCAGTGTACCTGTAAACATATTTTTTTTAATTTTACTGTAATTATTCTACTTAAAATCATATGTACCTGTAAAGTAAAGTTGTAAAGTAGCTGTAAAGATTTTTTTGTCAATTTTACTGTTAATTATCTAAAAATTATCTGTTAGTTTAAGGACTTGTCCGAAACGCTATGTGTGCTATTAGCTTTACAAGAATGTAATTTCAACTTAAACTCTATGTTCTCTGTTAACCCCAATATACCTTTTTGTATGTAACTGAATAAATAAATAAATAAATAAACAAATAAAATGTTGCTAACTTTTACTCAACAGCCAACTGGCACGACCCTTTCTCGTTCCTTAACTAAAATTATTCGTCAATCAGGGGAAAATAGTTGAGTTTACATTCGTTCAACGTTTCTTAACAATAGTATGCTTCATTCAACTTTAAAAAAATTGTTCAAGTAGTGCATTGTTACATAATTTCTTTTCCCTTTGTGATAAAAGACGAAAATTTCGTGATAATCTAAAGACAAGTACCACCCCTTTCTAGAATTTGCCAATACCAAGAACGATATTTTCATGAAATGGCTGGAAGCAGCACATGTCTCTACATTTCAGAACTCGTCAACCTTATGCTAGTTGAGGAATTCTTGAGATGTGTTTCCCCTTCTGTCCGTTTATATCTAGCAGAATAAAGAAGAAACCGACTCTAAAAAATGTGCGAAGTCGGCTGACACCTACAGCTCATCCACCGGCTGACACCATCACCACCTCCAGTAAGAAGTCTTGGTATAGTTATGATAAAGTGAGTACCGATCAAGCAAGCTCTCAAATTTATTTTAAGTATTGCAAACTCTATGGACATACCATAGATAGTGTGGGAAGGCAATGAAACTCCTAAACCCATCCCGACTCCTCCTAAGTCCGGTAAGCCTGTGATGATGTTGGTGTTCCTGGTAATGATCTTTCTCTCTTCAGCAAACACCTGTATCCTGGAACTGTCTCTACCAACGGTACAGATTCGGAGGGACGTTTCAAATTGAAGATCTTGAGGTACACAGCGGCTCTTCAGTCAATAATATTGAAATCGGCTGTGCCTAACATCACCTACACCGGGGAAACCGTCCTTATCACTGACCTCACTGCTTCCACTCCGTATCCACTCGCCAGAGTCCACCTGGATTGTTCTTTTGTGACCGGTGAAATCCAAGTCGCCATGAGGGAAAAGCCTTTTCCCATGCCTGGAGTGCAACTTCTCTTTGGCAACGACTTGGCAGAGATCTGCAACCGTCCAACTGATCATCATGGACAAACCCCAGGTGTGTAACTCTGTAGGGACAATCCCATCTTTAAGTATGTTTCAGCAGAGGTCCAAGAAAGTGATGAAGTTTCTCCTCCGGTTTTGGTGACCACCCGTGCACAAGCTGCACGCCCGCAACCGCTGACTCTACTGCTACCGCTGTCCCTCAAGACCCTCAGAATCTACCACCGAATCTTACTAGGTTGGAGTTCCGTAAGTTACAGAGGGAAGATCTATCATTAACACCATTATTCTTCCAGGCTGAGACTCAACCTGACAGTATCCCTGGGTTCTTCCTAGAGAATCAGTTGCTCTACCGCAGGTACAGACCCTTAAGCTGAAGGAGGATGACGTTTGGGCAAATGTCGACAGTGTGTGTTCCACTAGTGGTTCCCAGCCTATGGCCCGATATTCTACACCTGGCCCACGGAGCTCTTTCTCACTACGGTTTAACAAAACCTACCCGGAATCAGACAAGACTACTACTGGCCAGTATGGTTACAGACGTCAAAAAGTACGTGCAACAGTGTCATACATGTCAGATGGCAGGTAAACCTAACAATTATTTCCCGGGCTCCATTAATCCTATCCAGGTGCCTGCAGAACCTTTCCACAGACTCATCATAGACTGTGTTGGTCCTTTACCCGGACCAGTTCTGGCAACGCCTATATTACTAACTATCCTGGCTACCACCAGATTCCCCATAGCAGTTCCAGTAAAGAACATTACGGCTGCTACTGTGGTGAAACAACTATTGAAGATCTTCACCCAGTATGGATTTCAAGAGAGGTTCAAAGTGACTGTGGCACCAACTTCATCAGTGATCTCTTCAAGAAGACACTGGAAGAGTCAACATCACACAGGTACTGTCCAGCCCCTATCATCCTGCTTCACAGGGTTCGCTTGAACGTAGTCATCAGACTATTAAAGCACTCCTAAAGAAATTTTGCAATGAAACCTTTAAGGGACTGGGATAACCAACTTGACCTCATTATGTGCATTTTTAGAAGTCTCCCCAATGAGTCTCTAGGAGTATCTCCGTATGAGATGCTCTACGGACGTAAGTGCCGTACTCCTCTCAAAGCTTTCAAAGACTCTCTACGTAATGCCACCTTCAGTGACCCTCAGAATGTGCCCCAGTTTCTTCAAAACTTAAAGCACCTTCTAGAGAGAGTACGTATATTTGCTAATGACATCTATTGAAAGCTCAGGAGAGGGTGAAGACTCATTTTGACCAACGCAGCAAACTAAGGAAATTTAAACCAGGAGACTTCGTGCTGGCATATTTTCCTATCCCAGGTTCTCCATTGCAAAACAAGTTTTCAGGACCCTACCGCATCAAGGAGGCAGAAAAACCACAACTACGTTCTTGAGATTCCAGATGGGCGGCGGAAGACCCAGTTGTGCCACGTCAACCTCCTGAAGCAGTATCAAGGTACTCCCTCCACTGTATTGGTATCATTATCCACACTTAAAGGTCCATACCTCCACAGTGAGACCTTCCTGCTTCTCCTCCTGAAAGCACAACATAGACGTCAGTGCCTTCCAACTCGGAAATCCTTACTGATCTTCATACTATTTACAGGACAGTAATAGGCACCTCTCATCAGAATCTTCAAGGAAGACCAGAAGTTGTTCAGCGATGATCTGCAGGAGTGTAATGTGGTTCAGCACGACATCCATCTACTCCCTGACACCCGGCCGATTCGTCAACCTTTCTACCGAATCAGCCCGAGCAAAAAGGAAGTTATGCGTGCTGAAGTACAGTACCTCCTGGATCATGGGCTGGCCACACCTTGTGAGTCCCTTGGGCTCTCACCTGCATCTTGGTGCGAAACCGCAAGGTAAAGTGAGGTTGTGTACGATTACCGGAAATTGAATCTTGTGACTATCAAGGATGTTTATCCATTACCTAGAATAGATGACATCCTTGACGCTATGATATGCTCGTATCTATCGAAGCTGTGCAACGTTGTGTCAAAATTTCAAAGCAATCGGTAAAGAGGTTTCGAAGATTTCCCTCACATGAAAAACATATGAAAAATCCAGTGTTTCAGAAAAAAACATGTTTTTTTACCGTCACAAACGTGACATCTATATAGAATGCATATAAAAACTTGCTTGGATGCGAATGGAACGTTGTGTGAAAATTTCAAAGCCCTCAGTGAAGAACTTTCGGAGATAAGCGATTTTGAACAAAGGAACATTTCCATTTTTATTTTTATACTAGCAGTACCGGCCATGCATTGCTATTGCTCAGCAACACATGTGCGTTGCTGAGCCACAGCAACTTTCCCTGTCCTTCAGTACTCCCGACCATTCCCCCCTCACCTGTCTCCTCGTCCTCCCCACCATTCCCGACTCCACCATCCCCTCTTCCTTCCCACCATGCCCACTTCCCTGTCTCTTTGTCCTCCCACCACCATTCTCCTTTCCCTCATTCCCTCGTCCCCTACCATCCCAACTCCCCGGTCCCCTCGTCCTCCCCACCATCTCTCACTTCTGTCACCTCGTCATCCCCACCATACCCACTCCCTCATCCGATGCCTTCTCATATGGACTGATGTTCCCATCAGAAAATTGGGACCATCAAGTGATCTGATGTTCCCACCACTGAAATTAAGAAAAAAGTAAAAAAATTAATGAAAATATATGAAAAGTAAAAAAAAGCTGTACTCACAAAATGAACGGTATGGTAAACAACACAGCTCAATTCCAATGCAATTCACAGAAATAATTAAATCAAAATGAAACATAAATCAAAATGAAATAAATCAAAATCTGAATATTCAATTTATCAATCCAATCAGAAGCATTGAAATGGAATTGTAAATATTTTAGTATAATATGTGTGTTGCTCTTACATGCAACAGATGGTGCTGTTTTTCAAGAACAGAATAGTTTTACCTGTCACAGGTGTTGCATCTTAACTTATACTTACGAAATGCACAGTATGATAAACACACACAGCTCAATTCTAACACAATGTCACACAAAATAATTCAATAAAAAATTTAATAAATCGAAATCTATGAAAATAAAAATTATCAGTGCAGTCGGAAACATTGAAATGGAATTAGTGACATATTAAGTATAGCGTGCATGTCGCTATTATGTGCAACAGATGGCGCTGTTTTTAAAAAACGCATGTTTTTACCTGTCACCGGAGTGGCATCTATATAGTAGGTATACAAAAAACGCTCCTATTCGAATGCAACGTTGTGTCAAATTTTCAAAGCAATCAGTGAAGAACTTTTAGAGATTACAGCGTGTGTTGCTCTTATGTGCAACTGATCGCGCTGCTTAAAAAAAAAAAACATGTTTTTTCCTGTCACAGGTGAGGCATTTATATAGTAGATTTATAAAATGACGTGCCTATTTCAATGCAACATTGTGTCAACATTTCAAAGCAATCGATAAAGAGGTTTCGAAGATTTTCCTTGCTTGAAAAACTCACGAAAAAGACAGATTTTCAGAAAAGCAAGTTTTTTTTTTACCATCAAGACGTGACATCTATATAGTATGTATATAAAAATCTGGCTGGATGCGATTGGAACCTTGTGGCAAAATTTTACAGCAATTGATGAAGAACTTTCAGAGATTAGTGATTTTGAACAAATGAACATTTCCATTTTTATTTATATAGATATAAATATTATTTATATGTAATATATATATATATATATATATATATATTATCTATATATATATATATATATTATATATATATATATATATATATGTCGTACCTAGTAGCCAGAACGCACTTTTTGGCCTACTATGCAAGGCCCGATTTGCCTAACTAAGCCAAATTTTCCTGAATTAATATATTTTCTCTAATTTTTTCTTATGAAATGATAAAGCTACCCATTTCATTATGTATGAGGTCAATTTTTTTATGGAGTTAAAATTAACGTAGATATATGACCGAACCTAACCAACCTACCTAACCTAACCTAACCTATCTTTATAGGTTAGGTTAGGTTAGGTAGCCAAAAAAGTTAGGTTAGGTTACGTTAGGTAGGTTAGGTTGATGAAAAACAATTAATTCATGAAAACTTGGCTTATTAGGCAAATCGGGCCTTGCATAGTAGGCTGAGAAGTGCGTTCTGGCTACTAGTACGACATATATATATATATTATATATATATATATATATATATATATATATATATTATATATATATATATATATATATATATATATATATATATATATATATATATATATATATATATCTATAATATATATACTATGTATATATATATATTATATTCGTACCTAGTAGCCAGAACGCACTTCTCAGCCTACTATGCAAGGTCCGATTTGCCTAATAGACCGAGTGATTTTCTTTATTTTAAAATTATTGTTTCCAATTGGTTCAATTTGAAATATTAATATTATACTAGCAGTACCCGGCCATGCATTGCTGTGGCTCAACAGCGCATGCGCGTTGCAACCTTCCCTGTGCCCAGTTCTCCCCACCATTCCCCTTACCCATCTATCCGGCCTCCCAACCATTCTCCACTCCACCGTCCCCTCGTCCTCCCCACCATTCCCGACTCCACCATCCGCTCTTCCTTCCCACCATGCCCCACTCCCTGTCCCTTTGTCCTCCCCACCATTCTCCATTCCCCCTATCCACTCGTCATCACCATCCCAAACTCCCTCCCATCCCCTCGTCCTTCCCACCATTTACCCTTCCCTTGTCCCTCGTCCTCCCCACCATCTCTCACTTCCCTCCCCTTGTCATCCCCACCATTCCCCACTCCTTCGTCCAATGCCTTCCTTAATGGTATTGTGTTTCCCATCAGAAAACTGGGAACATCAAGTGATCTGATGTTCCAATCACTGAAATATAAGAAAAACAGTTAAAAAATGAAATGAAAATATGAAAAAAATATAAAATAACTAGTCACGAAATGAACGGTATGGTAAACAACACAGCTTAATTCCAATGCAATTCACACAAAATAGTTATATCAAAATGAAAATAAATAAAATATTCATGAAAAATTAATTGATCAATGTAATCAGAAACATTGAAATGGAATTGTAACATATTTAGTATAACATGCAACAATGATCACAAAAACACTGATCCAAGTATGCAGAATACACCACATGTGAAAATAAAAGAGAATGCTTAACACGTTTTCGGCTACATCGCCTTGATTAGAGCAAAGTAGAATGAAGATGATCTTCATTCTACTTTGCTCTGATGAAGGCGAATTAACCGAAAATGCGTTAAGCATTCTCTATTTTTCACATGTGGTGGTAATGTGTTTAGTATAGCATGCGTGTTGCTCTTACATACAACAGATGACGCTGTTTTTCAAGAAAAGCATAGTTTTACCTGTCACAGGTGGGGCATCTATACTTATTCTTACGAAATGAACGGTATGGTAAACCACACAGCTCAATTCCAACCAATGTCACACAAAATGATACAATAAAAAAAAAAATAATTCGAAATCTATGAGAATAAAATTTATCAGTGCAATCGGAAACATTGAAATGGAGTTCGTGACATATTTAGTATAGCGTGAATGTTGCTATTATGTGCAACAGATGGCGCTGTTTTTAAAAAAAACGCATGTTTTTACCTGTTACAAAGGTGGTATCTATGTAGTGGGTATATAAAAAGACGCGCCAATTCGAATGTAACGTTGTGTCAAAATTTCAAAGCAATCGGTGAAGAACTTTCGGTGATTACAGCGTGTGTTCAAGCCCGCCAGCAATACTACACACCTTAGTTAAAAAGGTGTGAGGGGGAAAATGCTAGCATGGATTCAAGATTACCTAAGTCACAGGTATGCCAGAGTAAAGTTGCAAGGACAAGTGTCGGGCTACCACTTGCACGAGAATGGGACTCCACAAGGAGGAGTCCTCAGTCCTAGTCGCTTTTAACATCCTTATGGAAAACCTTGTTACCATGTCCTTTACAGAAGGGGTTACATTGCTAAGCTATGCTGATGATCTAGCATTAGTCGTAACGGGTCCTTCACTTCTAAATAGAGCTCAAGGTGCTTTAGATCAAGTGACATCTGAATGCAGTGTTTTAGGGCCTAAAAATATCTGCACAGAAGTCTAAGGCGATGAGACTAGGTGGCAAGGCTCCAGACAGGCACCTACGCATTCAGGACATTAACCTTCAGTGGGTTACAGAATATCGATATCTCGGGTGTGGATTGATTTTTAAAAATGACATTCAATAAGCAAATTCAATATCTAAAGGAGAAAGCAAAGTCACGAATAAATATAATGAGAGCAATCACAGGGCCCCGTCTAGGAGCGGGACACAGAGAGTTGAGAATGTTTTACATACACGCCGTTCGTTCCCTGGTTGATTATGCAGCACCTGCCTTACTCACTCTTTCTCCTGGTCAGTGAGCAAACGTGAGTTCTTCAAAATGATGCATTGCGAGTCATAACAGGTGCTCCCAGATGGACTAAAATCCTGAACCTAAGACTAGAGACAAAGCTAACGTCGATTGAAATAAGGGTAAAGGGGATTGCTGCGTGCATGCTGACCAAGATATTGACTAGACCTCGAATCAGTTCACTTAAAGATATGATCACTGGAGCACTAACTCTGGACAGAAGAGCCTCCAATGGCAACAGGTGGACCCATTGTGCGATAAACGCCATCGATACATTCGATATGGCAAACACAGTCACTGAGAGGGGTGTCGACGACATACATGCAGACTTTGTTATTCAGGCCCCTTGGGAATCTCTGCCAGCAGACTTTCAGATTATGGCTCTTGACGGAAAGAAGAACCAGACACATCCTCATCTGCTCCGTCACTTTGCACAGATGCA